CACAAACTCCTGACCTCAGGTGATCCACCCACCTCGGCCACCCAAAGTGCTGGAATTAGAGGTGTGAGCCACCATGCCCAGCCCAAATTATTATACATGTTTTTAAATGCCAGAATGTATTTTATGACATTGTATATTTTATTATGTAGTGTATTTTATTATATAATGTATTACATTACATAAGGGTGAACATAATTTATTTTACTGCTGGCCACTCCCCCTCTCCCTTTTGGACATCTAAGTTCATTTATTCATTTATAAAATATTTTTAAGCCCCTTATAATACCAGAACTCTTCCTAGTGTTGAGGTTTAAACAAAACACAAGATGTAAATGCCCTATAGGAGCTTGCATTCCAAGCAAGTATGGAGCAATACACATAATAAAATGATAAAATTAATTGGTCCCACCCAAGAGAACTACTTACTCTACTCAGACTTTACAAGCTTCAAAATGAATCTTTTGAGACTCTCCAAAGATGTTCAGTTTACTTCCGAATCTGTGGGATTGGCTAGAGACCAATTATTGCATTTTCCTAAGATAGGTGGAACCAGAAACTTGTTAAAATGGACACTGTAGTCTTACTAGTTCCTTTGTATAAGTATATATGCCATAAATTACACAGCGTTCTATTTATTGAGGGCAGATGCAATCATTGCCAATTAATTCTTTTGTTATCTTCATAAGTTTTAGTTGTTAATACCCTTCTACATATTATTTTATATAAGTAAAGTCAATAGACTCTCACAATTTTTGAAAACATATATGAGTACTCTGTAGATTTGTAAATTGATCAAGAATATTTATATCTGGGTATATTACATGTTTGTGTAGAAATTTCATGCTTATGTATAGCTAACAGTGACTCTGGGATACTTCCAGTGGCTCTCTCTCATGGTATATCATGAGGTAACTTTCATTACCATCTTGAATCAACAACCACTTTGAGGTTTGTTTCTGACTGACAGGCTCTAAAACCTGATTCAGCACACTTGCAGAGAGAGTCAGTTTTTCTGGGGCAGAATCCAATTAGCAAAAGCTCATGAAACCGAGAAATAAAAACAGGATACCTTCTATTAGTTTAAAATATGTAATTGTAAATTAGAGAGGAACTGAAATACTCTACAGTTACTGTCTATACAGTAGAGGGCTCTTTCCAGGAGGTCTGGTTACATTGATCGATTAAAATAAAACTTGTAAAATTATATTGCAAATTATTCTCCCAAAGACTACCAGTTTTTATGATTAACATATTTTTCTCCTATAGACGGAGCTACATGAGAAAGTAAACCATAATGAGGAAGTCATCGGCTGGGCTTAGAATCAGAAAGACTATAATTAGAAAAATTGAAATCTTTTTTTTTTTTTTTTTTTTTTTTTTTTTTTTTTTTTTTTTT